ACAGAATCAGTGCCTTTGTTTGTGATGCTGTATCATGTATCAGTTCATTTGCCCCTTTTTCCCTTTCCACCTAGAATCTTACCACAGAAGAGGCGAGACCAACAGTCTAGTGCAGAACTTCACCAGGGAGGTCCTCCTCAGCTGAAAAGTAAGCCACTGCCACCAGGGTCTCCTGGGCCACTTTTCTACTTACTCAGGGATGAGGAAACAAACCTCAGGCGCTCACACACAAGACTCATCTGCAGAGGTTTTGTTGTTGTTGTTGTTTTCTGCTCCCTTTTTAGTTATTCATAAAACTGTACAGAGCAAACTCAGGGCCTCTTGAGTGCCAGGCAACCTCTCTGCCACTGAACTATGTCCCCAACCCTGGTTATCTGTCAAATTTAACAACCAGTCTGAAAGAACAGAGGTAAAACTTTCAGGGCCTAAAGAGTGCAGTAAGGTCCACGGCCTTTTGCTCAGTGGGTTTCTAGGGCGAGGTATCAAGTCAACAGAACGCCCAATGCTCAACCAGCGGGGAAGGTCAGATGTCTAACGTGGACTCTTAATGGGATTGTTAAGAAGCACCAGCAAGCCTGAGTGCTGAAGTGTTGGGTGATGGTGACATGAAGCCAGCCCTCACCACACAGCCTGAAGCCCTGCCTCTAGGTAAAAAAGTCAGAAGGAGCCGGATGCTGGTGGCTCAGACCTGTAATCCTAGCTACTCAGGAGGCTGAAATACAGAGGATCAAGGTTCAAGGCCAGCCCCAGAAAATAGTTCATGAGATTCCATCTCCAAAATAACCACAACAAAATGGACTGATGGTGCAGCTCAAGCAGAAGAACGCCTGCTTTGCAAACACGAAATCTTGAGTTCAAATCCCAGTCTCACCAAAAGAAAAAGTCAAGAGTCTGCCCTGTACATCGCTCTGCACACAAGCAGGCACACGTGACCTTATCCCTGCAGGCCCTGCTATCAAACTCCTCACCCAAGCCTCAAAGTAATCCCCTCCCCACAACTGAACAAAAGGAGACCTCAGTAAGGCAGCGAGAGAGGGGCAGAGCTGTAGCAAGTCTCTGACCACAGGGTCATGAGACCAAGCTGGCAGATTCTTCCAGACCTATGGGGTGGCAGTCCACAGTCAGATGCACCAGATACATGGTTCTGGCATAAATGCTGGGTCTGTCTGCTCTATGCTGTTGAGGAGGCCTCAAGCGCCACCATGCTTGGCTCAGTAAGTTAATGGTGTATAAGCATACAACAATGACCACAACACACAGACCATAAAGGACTTTTCATAAGATCAAACAGTTCAAACCCACAGGCCCTCCACACTGGCAGCATGACCCCAGTACAAGCTGGAGGAGCTCCTGAATGAAATCCTGCTCACCTGGTGACAGGTGATACAAAATTTTTACCTTAAACACTTTTAAGTTCTACCTTTAGGTAACTAAGTTGAAACCTGACAGAATACAATTAGCAACAATGTTATCACTCACAGGAATATAAATAAACTACATGAAAGTAATCTAATCTGTAACTACATTTAACAAGTACATGCCAGCAAAATCGGCCTAGGTAGCAATTCCGCCACCCTGCAACAAAAGTTCTCAAGATGCTGTAGGTGGTACCTGAAATCCGTTTCTCTGAAAGCAGCAGCCGACTGGCCTAGGACGTTTTCTTGGAAAACCTAAATGCTAGGGAAGTCTTGAGCTATATTTTTGCAAAGCCTAAAAATTCGAATGAAAAGTAATGCCCCCAACCAACCTCTTTCCTCCTCATTTATTTGAAAGGATGTTAAGCTGGCTGAACACCTTCATCTTTGATGAGACCAGGTCTTTGAAGTGATGTTTGAGCTCTGTGTTGGCAAAGTTTATTTCTAAACTGAACCATCTGGGCGGGGGCGGGGGGGGGGGCAAAGCCCCCCTTTGCATCTTTTCGGGTTGATGTCCTGGCATCCGAGTAGAGCAGTCACCAAAGTCCATCTGGTTATGAATGAAACTGACAAGGCCATATGCTAATGATTGTTTTGAAGGTGCTTTTCAATGTGAAATTGCAGAACCATTCTTTTGGTAAAGAGATAGAAGACAGGCAGACCAGTCAATTGGTCTCAAGTAAAAAGCACCCAGTTAAAGGTACCCAGTTTGGGCCGCACTGTCAAGGTCCATGCTGGAGGAATCTGGTCACACTTCTAGACACTCCTTCCTATCTACCAGCTTGTGAACTGAATGACTAGAATTAAATAGTCCTAGAGAGTAGGAGGTGAAAGACCCTATGAGACCATCACCTCCTGAGCAGAGAAGGCTGGGCCAGAGAGGCTGGGCCCATCGTGTGTCCCGTACCCTTTGGTCTTAGTTTCCCCATTCGTAGGCAGATTATGGCAGAAATCACCAGGGTCCACCAATCTAGAAGCTGCCCAGATCTTTGCTGGAAAAGTCCTCACCACATGTCCCTGTGGGAAGAGGGCCGCCCCATCTTCAGAGACAGCACGTGAAACCAGAGCTCATAACCCCAGAGCTGGGCTGTCGACATCCTCATCCAGAGAAGAATTCTGCATGTCACAGTTCTCGCCCTAGCACATCCTTCCTCGTGCCCTGAAAGTTCAGTATGGTTTATCTAAAAATAAAATCTTTACACACTTTCCAAAACCACACACAATCATTTGAAACAGCTTAAATTTCTTGCTGTGTATGATTAACTTTTCACTAGAAAGAAACAAACAACAAAACTCTTCAATACCAAAACTAAGAAAAAAAAAAAAAAATCCAAGAAACCAAAATTCCAATGGGCCTTTAGCATAGCAGACACCAAGAAGAAGGTGGAGGCTTTTTGGTATCGCACTTCCTTCTACAACCAACAGGTAAGTATGGTAGTGTTTTGTTTTGTTCTGTTTTGGTTATGTACATGTAATTGATAATTATAATTTTGAAGCCGGGTGTCAGAGAAGGTCAGAGAAGGCAGGCACAGGCTTTGCCTATCCAACACTGAAAAGCCCAGCCACCAGGCCCAGTCAGTCAAGATGTCTGGCCCTCCGCAGACAAATGAGCAATCTTGGGTACCATCGACACAAGGCTCCATCGTCACACTCTGTGCAAGAAGAAAACTCTGCTAACAGAGCAAGGCTCTGTAACCAAGGTTTGAAACCCCCAGATCCCACAATTTCAGTTCACTGCTCTCCCTCGTGTGGTGCACCCTCAGACGATGAAGCCCACGGGATTTTGCCCTGGCTCTGCTCTGTGGGTGTCGGAAAACCTGTTTAAAGGTGGGAGGTCATCAGACAGGTCAATCTCATTTCTACCTCTGGACTTCCTACCCAACTTTAAGACATCACTCACTCTTTGGGTTCTCCCGTGGCACCCTTCTGGCAAATGATAAAAAAAAAAAAAAGAAAGAAAAAGAAAAAGATTGCCTGTCATTATCTCATTTGCAGACAAGACCTCTATAAAGACAGGACATACAAACTGTTTTGATAACCAGCCAGCAGGAGCTGTTAATCCACCACAAGAAAGGGCACATGGAAACTCGGAGAACAGGTTAATGTGACGTTGGGATTGCCATGCTTCAGGGCTTCAAGAGCAGATGCGAGCCACGGGCAGAAGACCATCTCTTCTTCACTAGCCCTCTCTCTGCTGGCCAGGAGGACAGAGAAATCTAGACCACACCTGCAGGGAAAAGCATTCTCACCGTCATCCCCTGCAGGTGGGCCAACCTCTTGTATAAAGGCGGTGTGCCGGCCTGACAGCAGGTGCAAGACGCCTGGGGCTCGGTCCTGGCCACAAAAGGTCAGGCTGATTAGGACCAGGTTTTGTGTACAGCTCACCGGCAGGAAGCAGAGTTTCGGGGGAAAAAAACCTGCTGATCTTCAAGGACCAGGACTGTGATTTCTGAAGTGGAAGCTGAGAGAAACATGCTTTGGAGTCCAAAATCCCTGCGTACAGGATGCTGGGCAGAAATACAAACCTCTTGATTGTGGGGGAGAAAGTTACGAAGCACAGCAGATGGCATCAGGCTTTCAGGATGAAACCAGCAGGTGACCTACTGTGAAAGCCCGCAGCCCTTCCCCACGGCACATCTCAACCCCTACAAGGGAGTGAGGAAATTCCCTCCACTCTGGAGAAGCTAAGAGAAAGGCCAGTCCGGGTTAGACATGCTAGCTTCAATGCTCTACTCCTCCGAGACTGAAAACGGCCTACAACTGAGATTAACCATTTGACAGGAGTTGAGATTAATCAACTCTTGTCTACTGCCACAGCCAGACCAAGACGCCAGTGTGCTAAGCCCTAACGGATGCACGTGAAAATGCACCTGAAACGACTTCTCCCAGACCACACCCCTTAGGAGACACCACTAGGTGTCTATCTCAGATATCTCAATCTGATGTTCTGTAGCTGAAGAAACCATCTGCGTGCCTCAAAGCAAGGCTTTCAATTTAATTCATACGTCAAACTGCACCTTCCACACTCATACTGCCACATCCGGCCTGCCTTACTGAAGCTTGGCAGCTGCTCACCCAATAGACTGGCCACAGCCACGTCTTCAGGTGGCAGGCCCTGACCTCCATTCGTATCGCCCATTTGCCTGGCCTATGGTAGAGGCAGAGTTAATTCGATGACACCCTTGCCAGCCAGGATGAATCACAACATTAAGTGTATCACTTGGTCAGACAAACACCACAGTCAGCAACTGTAATCTTTGGGAATTAACCAGGAAGTATTGGGTGACACTCATGAGTATGAAATTCCCATGAAGAGTGGTGATCTACAAGGAGTACCTTAAAAATCTGTTACTTAAGACATCCAGGGGAACAGGAAAAGAGTGATCCAGAGTCACACACTGTCCGTGCTGTGACGTGCCACGGCTCGCACCTCTGCACACCCCCAGAAAACACATAGTCTCCTGTCCCAGAACCCTGCTCAGAGTATTCACCACTCAGTAGGAAGGAAACCAAGGGACACCCAGGGCATCCAAGGTCTGCTGCAAGGAGCATGGATCCTAGAAAAACTCTCAGGGCCAGACTTACCACTCTGGGCTTCTGCTGGTCCAGGGTGTGCAGGAAGGCTGAGTTGGGGTCCAGGGTGCGTTCGGGGTCACTAGAGATGTCCTCCTCTGAGTCCTCATAGGAAGAGGAGAAGCCAGTGGAGGAGGCAGAAGAGGACGACAGTTTCCTCAGAGGCAGGTTGCTCCGGGGGCTTCCCTGCGGCTCCTCCAAGCCCTTGTCCTCTTGGGCACCCATGTCTGTAATGATGACAGCAGGGATGGCAGGTGTGCTGCTGAGACTGCAAACCTCTCTCAGGGAAATCTTGTCATTCTGGTTCGAACCCGTGAGCTCAGGAGCATCTCCATCCTGTGGCTGGCTTTTCCAAGTCCCTTCCGATTGTACCCCTGTGCCACACGTCCAGGTTAGGCCAGCTTCCTCCATGGGGACCAGCCAAGCCCTGGAGGTTGCAGGCTGCACACTCATCCTGTCCCCAGGAGGGCACCGAGGCTCTTTCAGATCTTTTGCTACTTCCCAGCAGGGCAAAGGCTCCAGCATTCTGCCAGAAGGAATTCCTGCCTCCACCTCTGCCGACCCGGTCTGTGCTGTGCTGCTCCCGCCAAGCAAGCCCAGCATTGGAGACTGTTCCCCCACTCTGTCCCAATGCTGCGGAGTCTCACTGATCTCTGGGACTCCACTTCCCGCCTCTCGGGGACTTGGAGAGCCCAGGTCAGAGCCCAGGTCTCCTGGGGGACAGGACCAGCTGGGGGCCTCGGATGGCTCTGGGCTCTGTGTAGTCACAGTCTTGTCTTCTGGCCTTATGCCTGCTTCTGGCGCCCTGGAGCCTGGCTGGCCACCAGGCAGGTTTCCTTTCTCCACCCTCCCAGGGGGCTCTTCACCCTGGGTTCCACCCAGTTCTGGGGTTGGGCTTGTGTCCCTGCCCACAAACAGCCCCAGCCTCTCCACCTGGGCCTGGGGTTGGTGCAGGCCCTCAAGCTCCTCACGGGTGCATTTAATGAGGGTAGGATGGGGTGGACAGTGTGTCCCAGGGGATGTGGCTGTGGCTGCACCTTTACTGGCTGTTACTAAGTTTGACCCCACCAGCTCCAAGGAAGGAGCCTGGAGACTCTGAGTTCCCAAAGAAGGAGCAACCCTCTTGTCAATTTCCATGACTGAGGGTGAGCCACAGGGGGGACTGACAGAGGGTCCTCTCTCCATCCTCACAGAAGCACCTGGACTCTGAAACCCTGAGTCCATCCGGGAGGCCCGGTCAGGGTCAGGTGCCACTCCGTCCTCGTGGTGGTCCTTCGAGGGGCTCAAGCTGAGCCCTCGTCTTCTCAAAGGTCGGAGTCTGGGGTCTCTGGGCATTGCTCCCCCCAGGACTTTGTCCTCCGTTCCTCGCTGGGAGTGCCCTGGGCTGGGCCCCTGCCAGGGGGCTGACTGCTGCTGCGGAAGGGACACGGGGAGGGCGAGGGCGAGCGAGCCCGGCCCAAGCGTGGGCTGCGGGGCGCTTGGATGGCACAGCTCTGCGCCTGGATGTGCGCCTCGAACATGTCCACTTTCTGGTTCACCTGCACGTTCTGCAGCTCGCGCTGTAGGATCCTCAGCTTCCTCTGGGCCTCCTCGGGCCCGGGCGGGGAGAGGGTACCGCCGGCCACCACCTGCGGCCGGTCCCCTCGCAGGCGGCCGGCCCAGCTCGGGCTGCCCACGCCACCGCTGCTGCTGCTGCTGCTGCTGCTGCTGCTGCTGCCGCCGCCGCCGCCGCTGCCACTGCTGCTGTTCAACCTGCGCCGGCTGCTGCGCCAGCCCCCGGGGCCCCGGGGCTCCTCCGGCGACAACGCCTCGGCGGGAGGGAAGAGGAAGGAGGCGCCCCTCCCGGGGCTGAAGACGCTGCCCGGGCTCAGCGCGGGCCTGGCCGACGGCGGGGGCGCCTCGCCGCGCTTCCCCTGGTTGGCGCTGTCCATGATCACCAGGCTATTGAGCACATAGCAGTACACAGCCATAGTACTGGGGCCGCCGCGGCTCGCGCGCCGGCGCCTCCTCCTCCTCCCGCGGCTCCCGGCTCAGTCCCCGAGGCCCGGCGGCTCCGCGCACCGGGGCGGCAGCATGGCCCGGGCGGCGGGCGGGGGGCGCGACCGCGGGCTCGGCCCCCGCCCGAAGCTCCATAAACAACCGCGCCGCTGTGGAGACACAAGGACACCAGTCAGGGCCCTGGGGGGCGCAAGGGGGACGGTGGGGACAGGGGGCCCGGACGCCCCACTCCAGCCGCGGCGACGCTCGGCGCGGCCGGGACGCACTCTGCGGACTCTGGAGATTCCCGCACGAGAGTCGGCGTCGGCAGCCACGCGGGCGGCGCGGGGACGCACGGCCACCTGGTCTCCCGGCGTGCTGTGGGGGGCGCGGTGGCTGTCGAGGGCGACCGGGCGGCCCTGCTCCACCCTCTGGGGACATCGGAAACAATCAGAGGGAGCCTGGGCCGGACCTGCCTCCCCAAACCGCCGCCCGCCCCGGCCTCCCGGAGGGGAGGGCGCCTGTGTGCCCGCCGTGGACCCTCCCGAGCCTGGACTGGAGCTGTGCGCCTCGGCCTACGAGGGCCTGGGAGGCTGAGGCACTTTCGGCCCGGGCCCTGTCGCCTCGGTCCTGAACAAGTGTCTCCCTGCGTGTGGGCCTGCGCGCGCCCGGGACCGGGGCTCCCCAGGATCCGGTACCGGAACCCCTACTTGCTGTCCCCGGCCATCGCCCCCGCGGTGGAGGGAGCGTGCGAGCCCCGTTACCCCCGGGCTCCAGGACCCGCGCCCCTCCGCGGACCTCCGGGCCTGCGTGGCTGCAGCCGAGCCCCGAGCCGCGCGCCGTTGTCCCCGGAAGGCGGGGTGGAGCGCCCCGCGCCCCGCCGCGCCACGGTCCCCGGCTCTGCGCTCCCAGCCCAGCCTTCCGCGCCGTGGGCACAGCCCGAGACGCCCGGAGCCCAGCGACCGGGACACTCGCAGAGCCGTCGGCCGCCCAGCCTACCTGCGAGTCCACGCCCGGGCCGGGGCGCGCGGGGCGCGGGGCGCGGGGCCGCGGCGGGAGCACAAAGGGTGTCCTGCAGCAGCTGCGGGGACCGAGCGGGACGACCGGCCCTGCACGCCCTCCTCGGCCTGCAGACACTGCCCTGTCAGCGTCTGTTCCCGGCCACTTCGGTGTTTGTTCAGTGTAAGATTAAAAAAAAAAAAAAAAAAGAAGGTTCGGGGAGGGGAGGGGAGGGGAGGGGAGGGAGGAGGCAGAAAGGCGGGGGCTCGGGGGAGGAAAGCAGGAAGGAAGTTGTGAGCCTGTCTGGGGTTGAACTCAGCGGAACAAGTTTTTCTTTTCTTTTTTTTTTTTTCTATTGCTTGGCAAGACCGAGGGAGGGAAGCACTTTAAAAAAAAAAGTTTCCATTGTTAGCTAACCAAAAAAAAAAAAAAAAAAAGCCTTTTAACTTCTGCGGGTTAAAGATATAAGATTCATTTTCCACCCCTCGATCAGGGCTTACTGATGTCTAGCTTTATGGAACTACCTTCGTAAAGAGTTTTTTAAATAACGTTTGAGTGTACGCTCTGAACAAAGCTGGGCCTGAGGACCTGTTTAGCATTAAAAATGAGCTAAAATCCAGTGTAAGTGGCTTGTGTGCTACACGAATATGCAAATTCGAGGAAGGTACCTTGCGGGCAGCTCCTTGCAAGGGTGTAGGTTTTAAGTGCATAGCTGCGTGTTTGGAGGACTGCCCTGGCTGTGAGCTGCTGACGGTTTGCAGTGCGCTGGCTAGATGTGTAAACACACCTTCATGTCACACATTTATCTAGAAATGTACACACAGCAACTGTGATATTCGCCTATCTTTGCACTTAATTTACAAAAGTTATTTTGAGAAAAAGCACAACCCTGGAACTAAGCCAGCCCGAGCAATGTCTGGCACCCTCTTGCTTAGCCTCCTGTCGATTGAATTCTTTTCAAGAGATGTCTGTCCCACCATCAGCACAAAAGGGGGAAGCTGCTGTGGCCCACAGGACAGGCGCGTTTTGCATAATTCCCTAACTCCTAAACTACAGCATTTAGCGGCAGCAGGGAAAACACAGCCGTCAGCCTTAGGGGATTTAAAAATCTGAAGCCTGAATCAGTCCTCATAGCCGGATTAGCTAAAAGCCAAATGGAAATTTTGACTTTGCCTGTAGCAAACAGACCTCTTACTTGTTTACGTAACAATACTGTTTTAAGTGAGCAAAGCAGCCTGCTGCTCACCAGGAAGACTCATAGCAAATCTGAAACCAAGACATCTTCCAGCCAAGAATTCCTGGCAATCAGATGCTGTTGAGTCCTTTCTGACTTTCCTAAAACATGCCATGAAAGAATGAAACCTAATTCCCCTCCTGTCCTCATTGGGGGTGAGTAAAAAGACCTCAGAGTTTGTTCAGGTGTTAACTCAGGCTTTGAGCTGTTCCTAAGACAAAGAAGCCTGCCTGCTCCTGGCCCCTAATCCGCCAGCTCCACGAGACACACTTTCTGGAGTTCAGTCTGAGGGGCTGTGGTCCTAGGAGATGCCAGCACCACTGTCCCGTGTCCTGGTGGAGGCCACTGAAGAACCTAGCAATGTCACACGAGACATCATCAGCCTTCCAAAGTGAGAAACAGCCCTTCCTGAGCTCACTCAGCCTGAAGAAGTCTTGGTCAGCAGGCAGCCCCAGCAGCTGTCAGATGTGACATGCAGAGGGACTCCTACCTCGAACACAGATGGCACTAGGTGACAGTCCTACCAGTCTGAAATTCTAACTGTCACGGAGAGCAGCAGAGGTTGGGGAACAATGGAGCAAAACCAGTGTTTGAAAGTCAGCATGCTGGGCTTGCATCCCAGAGCAGGACCAAGTTGCCTTCCACGATTTTAAATGAACATAAATTTCTTATATGGCACTTGTATTTGCCAGTCACTGTCCTTATATTTATACATTTGTGTCCTCTTAACAGCTCTTTCAGGTAGGTATTACAAGCCCCATTTTATAGAGGACACAGTTAAAACAGAAAGAGGAGAGTCATTTGTCCCTTACATCCCCACAGCTGGTAAGTGGCAAAGCGAGGATTTGTGCCTGTGTGGCCTGGCTGCACAATCCATGCCTGTATTTCTCCTACACTAGTTACCTACAACTACAGAGACCGTTCACTTCACCTTTCAGGTCCACTTTTTTTTTTTTTTTTTTTTTGTATACTGAGGTTTGAACTCAGGGCCTTCACCTTGAGACACTCCACCAGACCCTTTTTTGTGATTCTTTTTTTCCAGATAGGGTCTCCCAGACTATTTTCCTGAGGCTGACTTTGAACCACAATCCTCCTGATCTCTGCCTTATGAGTAGCTGGGATTACAGACATGAGCCACCAGTGCCCAGCTTGGCCCACTTTTTAAATGGAATTTGATGTTGTTTTGTTTTGGTGGGATTAGGGTTTAAACTCTGGGCTTCACACTTTTGAAGCAGGTACTCTATCGCTTGCGTCATGCCTCCAACACTTTTTGCTCTGGTTATTTTGGAAATAAGATCTTGCTTTTTTTATCCAGGCTGGTCTAGACCATGATCCTCCTAGTTTACTGCCATCCCCGGGACAACAGACATGCACCACCATGCCCAGCTTTTTTCTGTTGAGATGGGGTCTCGAAAACTTTTATAGCAATGGCCTGGAAATGTGATCCAACCTGCCTCAACTTACCAAGTAGACAGGATTACAGGCATGAGCCACTGCTCCCAGCTTTAAATGGAATTTTTAAAGATCAAAGCTATGAAGTTAAGAACAATGATCATCTTGATAAAGAGCACCTGTAAAAAAAATCTGTAGCTAAAATCATACTTTTTTTTTTTTTGGTGTCACACAGGTTTGAACCCAGGGCTTCATACTTGCTAGGCAGGCACTCTACCACTTGAGCCACTCCACCAGCCCTTTTTTGTGATGGATATTTTCAATATAGGGTCTCACAAACTATTTGCCCAGGCTGGCTTGGAACGGCCTCCTGAGTAGCCGGGATTATAGGCACGAGCCACCAGCACCCAACTCTGAATGCTGGCCTTTTACGATCAGGAGCAAGGTTAGAATGTCTGCTGTTGTCTCTTTCAAAAGTCCTAACCTGTGTAATCAGACCAGAAAAAAAAAAAAAAGGTAAAATGTTTCCAAATTGAAAAGGAAGAAGTAAAGCTATGAGTTGATGATATGTTTGTAGAAAATATTTGGAGGCATAAAAAGCTACTAGAGCTGAGAAGTAAGCTGAGCAAATGTGTCATCTAAGTAGGGCACCATGACAACCTGCCATCACCTCTGTGGCTTGAACAGCAGAAGTGCATTTTCTCATAGTTCTGGAGGCTGGGAGTGTGAGATTAAGGCGGGGTGCCTTCCCTCTTTCTCTGTCCTCCTTCCCCCTTCCCTCCCCTTCTTTGCTGGGGATGGAAGCCAGGGTCTTCCTTGTGCTAGGTGAGCGCTGTACAGCTGAGCAGGCCCTGGCAGGGCTGCTGGCTTTCAGGCTCTGTCCTTGCCCTGTAGACAGTGTGTCCTCCCTATGTCTTCGTGTGGTCCCCCGTATGTGTCTGTTACACCTTTTTTTCTGTTTTGGTGGTACTGGGGTTTGAACTCAGAGCCTTGCACTTGCTAGGCAGATGTTCTGTCACTGGAGCCAGCCCCCAGCCCTTTTTGCTTTATCTCTTGTCTTGCTGCTTATGCTCAGGCCAGCCTGGACCGTGCGCGAGCCTATTTACGCTTCCCCCATAGCTGGGATGACAGGCACTCGCCACCTCTCGAAGCCTTTTTTTATTGCTCCAGGTGGGGCCTCAGGACTTTTTGCCTGGGATTGGCCTTGAGCCATGATCCTCCCAGTCTCTGGGTCCCAAGTAGCTAGGATTACAGGCATGAGCCGCTGTGCCTGGCTAATCTTCTCTTTTTTGTAAGGATATCCTATTGGATGAGGACCCACCACAATGACCTCATTTAACTTTAATTGCTATTTTAGAGATCCTGTTTCCAAATACAGTCTCATTCTGAGGCGCTAGGGTTAGGATTCCAACATACAAATTCACCCCATTTTGAACAGCAAGGTATACCTAAATCCATCCTCAAAATGAATAATCAAAAATCAAAATAATAGCTTTAAAATAACAGCCCAAACCACAAGATACAGAGGCAAGCACAATGAAACATTTTCAAGGCCTTTGTAAAAAGAAAATACAAAAGACCACTAAGAAAAATAAGACCTAAATAAAAGGAAGGGAGCCAGGCCGTTTTCATGATCAGAGGACTTAGTGTTCTTAAGATGCTGAGTCTTTCAAAATGTGGCTGTAGACTCAATGAATCTCAATATCCCAGGAGGTTTTTATTTTGTTTTGTATTCATTTTGTAAATGCCACAGGGAAATGCAAAGGCTGTAGAATAGCCAAATATAACAACAACAACAAAAAAATAGCAGGAAGACTAACATCTGGTGTCAAGACTTATTATAAAACTTTAGCAATCAATGGGCTGGTTCAAGTACTTGCTAGGTAGAGCGCCTGCCTAGCAAGTGTGAGGCCCTGAGTTCAAACCCAGCACCACCAAAAAAAAAAAATTAGTAATCAAGACAGAGTGGTTTTGGCACAGAGCAGATGAGTGGGGCAGAACAGAGAGTCCAAAACAGACACACATATGGACAACTGATTTCTCACACAGGGGCAGGAAAAGGGAGAAAGAAGTCTTTTGACAAAAAAAATGTTATAACAAGAAAATATCCACGTGTAAAAAAGAATGAAAAACTGTTCAATACTTATCTTGTATCATATACAAAATTAACTCAAAATCACTAAATGTAAACTCATGAAATTTTTAAAGAAAACACAAGAGAAAATCTCTGACAACTTGAATTAGACAAATATTTCTTA